CCTGAATTGATTAAGCTTTTTTTCCAGATCAAGTAAAGAAAAACAACTTGAATTGCTCAAGCAATGTAATTAGCTACTTACAATAGAGATTTACTGCAGAGGTAAAGAGCGGTGGTTCAGCTAGCAGCATCTCTGTGACCAGTCATCCACACACAGCGCGGCTGTAGTCTTTTATTGTGCATTATTCTGTTTTCAGATCCGTGACTTTGAGTCTTTTGCATCCTGACACTTTGACGTATTCCTGTTTGTTTTCCATTTGTGAAACATTCCCATGGTCCCGAGACACAAGCGTCTGGGGAAAATCAGCATCTCTTACCTGGTGCAGAGATGATAAACCTTCCTCAGAAGTGTTTATTGTTACTTTCTCTGCTGCCACCAGTTTCTAATATCAGGTTCCCTGTCAATCAAAGAGTAAAACAGCTTATTGTGCTCTGCAAACACTCTCAAACACAAACCCTCATAAAGTCATTGTATTTAATCTCAGGCCCATTATGTCTGATATTATTGTAGATGGAGCAAATTCAGTTTCTGCACTGCTAGAAAGAATCCAACCCGGCCACATTATCCTCCGCTTTATCTTAAATTTTTTATCATGATTTGACTTTTATTTTATTCCGATGTTATCACAAATACCAGTTCTGCCCACCCCCTCCACACACACACACACACACACACACACACACCAGATGCAACAAATCCCAGAACGTCATTTGAGAGTTTTTTTCTCGGATGCGGGGGGAAACATGGGAAATCAGCGACTGTGGGTTAGAGGAAATGAGGCTATTTGAATGAAAATGAAAAGCAAATTGCTACACTTCATCACCACATGCTCTTTGGAATACATTGTAAACAAATTGATAGCAGTCAGGGGGAGAATCTTTCTCGTGAGTTTTCATTTTCGACATGCCGAATGCTCATTTGAAGCCTAATTTCAGTCTGAAAGTTGAAGCCCTCCTTTCCCAGTTTACTTTAAATCCAAAGACTGAATCAGTGCCAACACACTGAATGACAAACTTGACCAGAGCAGATGATCCAGATGATTGCCTCGGGTAAATAGTGGATTTAGTTAATATAAAGACTGAATTTAATATTTACACCAATATTGATTGGCTTAAACTGACAGTTTGAAGCAAATGACCTGCTACAAAAGATTTAACTGCCGTGGAGTGTCAACACTTCAAATACACAATTAAAGAACATATATTTTAATGCACTTGGTGTTGAAAAACTCTATTTATGATAATATTTTTTATCACCAGATGTGTAAACTCGCATTAAAGAGGGAAAATGGTGTATTGGGACTGTAATAAATCACTAGATATTCACTAATCTCTACAAATAGCCAGATTAGTGTCTGGTTCTCTTGTGAATCACTTCCACTGGATCAAATTAAACACTGAGCTGAAAAGAACCGTTTCGTCATTCGAATATGATGCACAGTACAGATTCTGAAAAAAATATCTGCATATCTGTGAAAGGAAACAGAGGACCGGTGTCAGCCATCACTCCTTATCAGCTGCTATACAAATCTTGGAAAACAACCAAAGAGAACATTTTTAAACCGTAAGGGTCATTTCAACCTACAAGGAAAATTGACCAGGGTGCTTCTTCAAGCCTCTTTTTTTACTCATTAAAACTTTAGACAAAAACCTTGGGTCCTCTGCAGTGTCACTCCAAAGAACTTTGTGTAAACTTTAAAGCTAATTAAAAAAAACACACATGTGTGTACTTGAAACAAAGTGTGAATGGAATGCCTATTGTCAGGTTCCCTCAATCCCATCCTACTTAAGGGATGCTATTTCCTTCTTTGTGTACCAACTCATATATATCTTTGTTTTTTTAGTTGTGTGTTTATTACCACCTAATCACGTGACCCAAACCAGTGTTTTAAATCAGGCTTTAAGATAATGTATCAAACTTCATGCGCAAAATAAAATATACTACAGAAATATGAAAGCATTAAACTCACCGTTGGGTTTGAGTTTGCCTCCATGGGTGATACTGGTACTTCTTCAATATGACGGTTGTGTCACGTGATTAGGTGGATGTTGGAATCGGACATCCATTGCTAATGTCTGTGACACGAAGTAACATTGGCCATTTTTACAGCGAATTTTTAGACGCTGAATTTGAGACAGCGAATTTGAGCAAGTTGAATTGGAGGACAACGAAAATAATGCATTAGATTTTTGAAAAATTGAATTTTTTATATGCTGAATTTTTTAACCCTGAAAATGTAAACTGTGAAAAATATGTATATTGAAAATTTGATCACTTTGAAATAGGAATGTGAATTTTTTTAATGACTGAAAATTGCAACCATGTAAAAAAAATTACACTGAATTTTTTTTTTAATGTACAAATAATGACATTGAATTTTTTTTAGGTTAAAAATATATTCTTAATTTATTTTAATACTGAAAAAGTAAGCACTAATATACAACATTCAAATTTCGGAGTTATTTTTTATTCAAATTCTGATGGCACATATTTACTTCCATAGTTTTTTGTTTTGTATTGCTGCTAAAGAAGTGGGATCATGATTTGCCTTTACCAGGCTGCCTCAATACATAATTCAAAATGGGTTCTTAACCAAGTTGTGTCATATATTCATTCTTTGACTTAGATGCCTTTAAAGCTTGAATGATAGATTGGCTGAACAAACAAAAAAGTGAGTGAAAGGCAGCTGATGTGTAAGCAACATTTTGAAAGACCTTGAAATATGTGGAAAAAATAGCTCCTAACATCTTAAAAGTATTACACCAAGATCTAGTTGCTTCAGCAAAGTATAAAAAGAAATGAGGGTTTCACCAAAACTTTTACTCAGTGCTGTTTATTTTTGTCATTAATTGTCTAGAACCCAAAATAGAAATGGTAAGAGATTTAAACAGTTTCATTAAATGTAATCACCTAATCTGTTGTGACATTTTTTAAAAGGATTCCTAGCAGAAATCATAACTTTACACTAGACCAGTTTCTGTGATTAGATATTATAGTTATACAATCAATCAACGATGTGAGATATCTGCTAAATGTGTTTTGACATTTGGACATAGTTGCCAGCATTGATTTTCAACAGTGTTGGATTTCCTTTTTAGTCGCTTTAATTGGCCCTTGAAAATATCAGCCACGGCTAAATGGAACGTGAAACAGCAGAAAATCAATGGGAAGCAAACAGATTTTTTCTTGTAGTCACACTCCATCTTACTTTTCTCAGATTTCTGATTACATTTGATTTTCCTCAAAAACTGACTCCAGTCTACTTCAGACACAAGCATTGTCTTTTCACAAATGGCCTAAATCTGCTCATAAACTAAATCTTTCCCCCCAAAATAGAGAATTGTAGAATCAAGCCGAAGCTGAGTTCCTGCAGAGTGCTCCATCGTGCAGTTGGGCTTTCCTGTAGAAAGCCTCAGTGCTTCTTTTATCCATCCATTTGCCAGCACGCCTCGGGGTTTTGAAATCACACCGTCTGTGTGTGTGCATGTGTGTGTTTGGCTGCATGTGCACATGCTTGTGCTGTGCCCAGTCTATCGTTACTCTGCTCTCTGGCACATTTATCCACCACAAGTGATCAATATGGATATGGAAGTCCACAGAAAAACAAACTGCTGTTGAATTTTACTATTTTTTTTCGCCTCACATTACTTATCAGTATACAAAAACAATGAGATGATGGCAACAACACATTTCACTGTAGCAGTGGTATTTTAACAGGCTGCTGTCCTGATGCATAAAGCTTTATTCCTGTAAGTTGGTGTTTACTGGGGACAAGATAACGAAACCTCTTGCATACGTTTTTGTGATGTTTTACTCTTATGTTTCAGCTATGTTTTATTTATTTTGAGATTTGATGGTGTTCAATAAGACCTTTGCAGCAAGAAAAGTAACATGACAAAGGTTGTGGAGGGCACACATCGATAAAGACACCTAAATCGATGTCTTTATGGAGTAAATGTTTGTTCTGGGAGCTGGTTATGCTGCTTTGACATGATGTGCTGCATTCAGCGGGGCGAGAGCACGAAGGGACTCAGAATCCCAAATGCAAAGGTTAAGAGCAGTTTATTGCAAATGCTCCTGGGAGAGAGTGGAGGTAATGGTGGGTGAAGGCAGAAGGCGGCTGGTGTCGCAGTAACTGAGGAGGGCAGACAGAGGGGGGGGGGGGGGGGGGGCAGAGCAGGGAAGCAGGTCAGGGAGTGACAGGCGGGATGAGTGGTGGACCATCTGAAGGCCAGAAGCTTAGCTCCAGACTGGGTGAGTGAGCAGTGTGTTTGGAGAATGAAGAGGGGACTAAAGAGCAGCGCAGCAGTCCCTCCCAAAGCACACAGAGGAGGGGATGTGTCCTTCTCCGAGTTTTCACAATCATTTTATACACCCCCTGAAGCATAGGGGGTGTATGGTTGATTCTCCTGGATTTACCAATTTATTCAACTGAATTTGTACCTTTTGAAAGGGCAAACTCTCACTAGCACACTAGCAAACATTTGCAAAGCAGGTATTAGTATTCTAAGACTTGCTTAGCAAATGTTCATTCTTTCTCTTTCTAATCTTGCTTTGCAAGAAAGGCAATTACACCCCCACGTGTTTTATCAAGCCTATAATCAGAAAAGTGTTGTCCAATACAAATACTGTATGTATTTAGTTAGATCTACAATATGCAACTGTGCTCTATGCCGTACAGACACAGGAGGTGGTTCACAAAGACCGGCAGAAGACTCCTGATTATTGGTTGAGACAGATTTGCTGCATCACTTTACAGGCCAACTCCACTTAGAGATGTGAACTTCAGAGCTCGTATTCTGGTAGACAGTTCATCTCAGGCAAGGTTTTTTCTTTGTTCTTCTACTGCTGTTTGCTTGTTCCACTTGGATGCATTGAGGGACGCTGGCGCGTGGATTTGGGACAAACTAAAACAAATGGTGCAAATCACTTTAATCCAGAATTGGCTTGTCATGATGCCCCCCTGAGATGGAATAAAAGCACATCTTTTTTTTCTGCAGGTGGAGTCTCCCCTGGCAGTGGATGCGGTTCTGGGAGAGGCTCCCTTCTCCGTCACAGATGATAAGGTTTTCATCACGGAGCTGCGTGTCCATGCTATCTCCGGCTTGACGCTGACCGTGCAGCCCAGCCCCGGCAACAGCCACACCATGGTGGCCCGGGCATCCGGCCTCCAGACGCTGACCGCTCCCAAACAGGTACAGCTCCACTTTTCAGGAAGTCGTTACCAGTTATTGACCGGCTGCTTACGTTTATGCATTTAGCGGACGCTTTTATCCAAAGCGACTTACACGGTAGAATATATACATGTGTATCTGGAACCCGGCCTCACACGGACCAGGCGGAGACACTCACCACTATACTGACCAGGAGACACTTTAACTGAAATGTAACCTGCATTGTGAGGTAGTTTATTGTCATCCCAATGATGTAGCAATCGTTATTTTGTTTTTCTTTTAAAAGGTACCACATTCATAGACGGTGTAAACCTTTATTGGACGCAACAGCAAATGTGTAATCACCACGCTGTTGCCTTCTGAATGCACACCCGTGTCATAAAGATATGGAGGTTGTCCCACAAACTTTGCTGCATGTTTATGTTGGCAATGTGTGCACTGACAGCAAAACGAACAAAGGTGAATAAGAAGGATTAGCACCTGTAGTTGTTTCCGCAGCACTGCTCCACTTCAGTGGACCTAACAGGCATGTTTTTGGACTCCACACACTAAAGCTCCCCTTCTCCCAGGATTTGATCTGGGAACACGCGACGATGCTAACCACCACCACACCGTGCTGCCCCAGTCACACCATGAACCTGTTCATCACGAGAAAATGCAAAGATAATGTCGAATGTATCCAATTTAGATGGATGCTGCTCACGGTGAAACTGATGCAACAGATTTCCTCTCTGCTCTGTTTGGATGGAAAGTTCTTGTCGGGAACAACAAGAAAACCCTCTGTGTTGCATATCATAGGACAATAATCTCAGATTTGGGGAATTGATTCCTTCACACTCTGCTGTGAGCCGACAGCTCAAGTTGAGGAGTAGTTTAGATCCAAATGAAAGGTTTGATCCTCTCGATAGCACCTCGATATCCCTCCACAAAAAACTGGAGCTCACGTTGAAGGCCTGCTCATAAAATCCAATAGTGAGTGATGCTAGAGACCGGCATACTTTCATATTTTAAAATATGTTATGGTTCTTAAATTTACTTTTACAGATAGTATGAATCCGTACACAGCATGGGACATTTTATTGTGTATGCAGGTTGTGTTTTAAATGTTGTTATTTTTGCTCTTATCGGATGTTTGAAGATTCCCTGACAACTGATTTTACTTTGATCCATAGCAGTCACCAGATGCATCATCTTTTCTATTAGCCGGTCCTCTGTAATATGCGTTTTTTCCTTTTAAAAACACTGTCTGTCCTTTTACCGAAGGCTGAATATGGAATTGCTTCAATAAGATTCGCTCAGTGCCATGGAAAGTGAAATGGATAAATACGTTATACTGATTAACAGCGAGGTCCTCTGAATTATTCACTGAGATTTCACTATTATACCATTTAATTATGGCGACAAAGCAGCCAGGTAGTGCACCTGGTGACCCACAAACACAGCAGGTTTCTTCAGTTTTTTCTTAGACCAGCAAAATTCTATTTATTTGCAGAACTTTTCAGCAGCTCATATTGGCGTGGTGTTGGCATTGGTTTCACTTTGGATACTAAATTTATTCTCAGTATTAATCTTTTAAGCTGCAGCCAGCAACATTGGGAACGATGCCAGAGAGTGGTGAACCGATCAGTACCTGGGAAACTTGGGAAACTTTGGGAAATGCATTCGGACATTTGAGTCCAAATGCATTTCCCAAAATGGATTTCAGGGCTCAAGTAAGAGTAAGTCAAGATGCCTGTGAGAGGCCCGTGCTGTTGTTTTCACGTGGAGAGGGTGATGTGTGTACAGAGATCTAACTGGCAGGCCTGCAGGAGATCTGTGTGCAGGTGTTAGTCTCAGTGTTTTTCTGCCCTTTCACTGCCCTGCAAGTGTCTAAAACTGCAATGGCAGCCGCATCAGGCATGAGTGAGAAAGAAGCAAGCGTTAAATTCCAATTTTTCTTGCTTTCCACTCCTTGGCCACCTTGAAATTTAATTATTGTAATGTATTGTCCCTAAGTGCTCTCCAAGGCAGAGCCATAAAACTCAGCCAATTCCTCTGCTGGCAAAGCTCTCAGAGGACCACCGCAGCTATTTCAAGCCATTTGATTCTGTTTCACCGAAAAATTCCAACCCCTCTTCACAACTGAATTTAACACTTCAGCTATGATTGGTAGAGTTTTGTAATCAAAATATCTGAATTATTCTTTTTTATTTCCTTACCAATAATGAAGTCATTTTTAAATGTAACGTTATCAGAAAGCTCATTGCAAACAGACTTTTGTTGCGATGATCGAACCATTCTTTGTAAAACTCTTTTTAAGCGATTGCTAAACGGAAAACTTTATCTGATTTAGCTCATTTTGGAATCAAAGTTGTTTGGCATAAGTTTACATATGTGGAGTTTGAGTGTTGGGATTGAAAATGACTGGACTATACTGGCCATAAAAAGGTTCTTCCAGAGATCCACCCCTCTGGAGTAAGCCGCCCTGCTGTCGAGGTAAACGCTTTGAAAATGTTGTCGGACGTATTTATATCTTGGCACCTGTTGGACCCTGTTGACCCCTGGCTGGTACCTGATCGTGTGTTCTGGCCACACCGCCCTTTCTCTCCTGGTATCCTCAGGCGCGGGTGAATTAACCCTACGGCCTTTGAGTCAGTGGTTTGTTACATTTTAGGCCGATCTCTAGATTGCCATTTAATGGAAAAGAAGAGAAGATTGGTTTCAGCCAGAACAAAACTCCTCCAATTTGGTTTTAAAACAGAATCAGCTCTTATAGGAGTTTTTAATAACATATTTTCTGCTATAACCTGCGGTGACTGCGTTATTCTTGTGATTTTAGTTTTTTAACTGCTGCATTTGACACAGTGGACCGTGGACTGTTGGTTTCCCGTTGGGAACAGTGGGAGGGTGTCAGGGGTGTAGCACTAGAATGGTTCAGGTCACACTTGGCTAATCGAACACTCGGTGTCAGCCTTGGGGATTTTTATCCTCCTCTGCTCTTCTCTCCTGGGGTTCCCCAGGGCTCAATTTTAGGCCCTCTTCCCTCTTTTCCTGGTTCCACTTGGCTCCATATTGATAAAGTATGGGATCTCTGCCCACTGTTATGTGGATTACAGTCAGATTTATGTCCCTCATACCTGTCTGGATAACATAAAGCCCTGGAAGGCTTTCGACTTCTCACATTTCGATGAGAAAAAGACAGAGGTATTGGTTTTTGGTGGCTCCTCTCTTATGGATGTGGGCACTTTAGTCCAGGTCATTAAGTCCAAGTGCCACAAACCTTTGGGTAAAAATGGACACAGATATCAAGCTGGACTGTCAGATCATCAGCTGACCAAAATGACACACATTCTCTCAAAGCAACCCTTTGAAACAGTGACTCACACCTTTGTGACCACTAGGCTGTACTGCACTTAATGTGGGGGTCAGTGGGTCCACCAGTGCCCATCTTCAGATGGTAAAGACGCTGCTTTTAACTGGTGCACGTAAACACAAGCACATTTCTCCCTTTTAGCCTCACTTTACTGGCTCTTCATACATTTTAGGATCAGCCATAAAATAGCTTTATTTGCCTTTAAATCCCTGGATGGTCTGCCCCCCCCCTACCTCCCTGAGCAGCTACAGCCTTATACACCCCCGCTCTCTCAGGTCAGCTGACCGGCGGCTCCCGGGTGTTCCAAAAGCACAGCTCAGAGGTGAGCGTGCCTTTGGTGTACAGCCCCTAAACTGTGGGATGATCTACCGCTCCCCATTAGACAAACCTCCTCTCTGTCTATGTTTAAATCTCATCTAAAAACTCATCTTTTCTATTTGGGTTTTGACTCCGTGGCAGATAATGAATATATTTATAATTCATTCTTTATTTTATTATGATTGTTTTATCGACATAGCTGTTTTATGATCTGTGGTTGTTTTTTAAGTGCTTGATAGATAAAGTTGGATTGCATAGGACACATGAGTCCATATGGCACTAATTGGAAAACATGGTCAGATCAATGACAGGAACCTTAATCTTTATGACAGAAGGTAATTTATGGAAATGCATGTTACATTTACTCCTGATAACAAATGTGGTTGATTTTAGTGCATCAATTTAATTAAGGATTGTCTTTGTATTGTAAATTTCTATGGCAGGAGTTTGCCTCCTGGAGAAATGTTGGCAGATTTTAGCAGTCTGCTCCTAAACCTGAACTGAGGGGATTTGTTTTTCCTCCTGAGCAAAGTGGGTGTGCATCTGTTTTAAATGGCTGAAAACTGTCGGACTGTTGCAGAAAGAAAATGCTTGCAGTCTATCATTTGTCCAAATGGTTGGTAGGATCTGCTTAAGCAAGCTGTGGGGAAAAAGACCTTGCCTTGATTACATGGATGCTGCAGTTGTGGTCCAGTCTGCAGCAGATAAATGATGTCAGGTAACCACTACATAGAATTTGAGGCACTTTATCCAATCTCGCCGCAGGAGAGTACAGAGGGTGAAGAGTGACAGGAAATACAAAATGAGACCTTCACACACAGTAAATACAAAGAGAGGCACTCATCATTCGGAGCACACGCTGCTGTGGGGAGCCTTATCTGTCTGAGTTGTAGTGAACCTGCGCTCCAGAGCAGAGCCATTCCTCTGCCACCCCTTATTCCTCCATGCTTGAAAGTGGTTTACCAGCACACACATCAGATGCAGTCTGTCTTTGTTTCAGAGGCTTGCACAAAGTATCGAGTACTGTGGATGCCTCACAAACACTCAGGAGATTTAGAGTCTGGAGCAGGTCCAGGACTTCAAAGAATGGAATGGGAACATATTCAAATCACAGGCAATGCTAAAAAAGAGTGCTGTATGTTTACTCTGGAATGTTGTTTTCAGTGATAAAAACACCAAAAAGTTATAGATTATTTTTTCTTTTTGGTAGGAAACAAAGGAGTTTTAAAACAGTGCTCAACAGAGCAGATGTGGCTGAGGGCTGAAAACCGGCTTTCCAGCAAGAAAATAAGACACACTCGCTATTAATGCTCTTAATCACCGAAAACCATCAGTACTTCTACCAAGGGGCTTCTGTCCAGGGGCTGGAGAACTTCAGATCACCCAACCAGAAAAGCATTTTTCTACTTTTCAGATCAGAATCAGAATCAGAAATCACAACAACTGCAAATGGTAGACCTTAAAGCTGTTGAATCTGTGATTAGGAACAACATTTCTGAGTCAGATTCAGCTTCACATGGAGGGACTGCAGCCCTCTGGAGCTCTGGAGCTCTGGCTCTCACCTTATGCCACAGCAGAGGAACACAGTGACACCCCTCAGCAGAGATAAAACGCAGCCATTTTTCCAGCAGACACGGGAAAATGCAGTGCGGTTCACCCGGAGCACAAAACACCCAGACAATCTTTTGATAACAGTAATGTACACATTCTTCACACGGAAGACAGATAGCTTGAGAGAGGTGAGGAGAAAGCCATTTGTGTAAAAAGCATCTCTGAACAGAGAAGGCGGTCTTTGGTATCATCCACAGCTTTTTTATCAGTGCAGCTTTTTTTTGCTTCTCACCTTTTATAGTTTATAACCATTACCACCGTTTATGGTGTGGCTAAGACTGAGTTTTCACCCAGGTAGACAGTTTATAGATGAGAATGACTTCAGAACTGAAGAAGCCTTTTTGAATCAGATGAGCCATGTAACAGTTTTTCCTTACACTGGGATGTGCAATACAATCACCATCCCAACCTTTTGTCAGCTAGTTGGTCTATATCCTTCCAATCTTCCAATCTCTTATCAGACTAAAAGAAATGACACGGTATTCAAATCGTTTTAGATCTGAAGTTTTTCTTCTGTCTGCCTTCATTATGGGTCGGTGAAGATGTTTGTCCTTTGGTATAATGTACCCTCTACAGTTTCAAGTAGACTTGTATTAAATAGATTCCAACAAATATCCACTGAGCTGTAAATTGTGAATTTAAACTGGAATTATGGCGACGGTAAAAGAAGTATTTGAATTATTCGATTTTTTTATTTAACCAACCATCCAATTTTGTGAAGAGATCTTTATCAACTGTGAAGTAATTGAGAAAATAAAATGCGGTCTAGGCAGGAGTTTAAACCTTTTTTCTTCTATTGAGTGGTAAAATAAAGCTACGCCCAATAGTTTTTGGTTTTTTTTTTACATTAGTCTTTGTAAAGAGTAGAGGTACTCATACCAAAGAGGATGCTTCAGATTAAAGTTAATACTTCCTTTGCTATGTATACTGTAATTTCTATTTATATTTGCTGAATTCCTAAAAATCAATCAGCATATGTCTTGTTTTCCTGGTGTTGTATAAAAAATGAAGGTTTGGTAAAGAATTTTATTTTAGAATTGATGTTATGTAGAATTATATAGTATGCACTCAACCTAATGTGAAGGGAAAAAGTTATTTATTCATGATAGGTTGAAAGTCCAGACTAAGCTACTTTCAGGCTGCTACTTCTCTTTATTTATGAAAATATGTAAATACAGCCTCTGCTGACAATGAGTAAGCCTTCCTAACTCCTAATCCCATGCATTAATTCACTTTTGCTTTAGTAATGAGTTACAAAAGAAAGGTTGGGACAATGTTTTTCTCTTTGTTCAGGTGTGGAGTTTTCATCCACTTTAGATCAACACACTCAGCCATTTAAATTATTTTGTTTTTAGAATCATTTTTATCTTCTACCAAGAGGAGTTTCAACTCCTTGTCAAATCGACTTCTGACATTGTCTCATCCTTGAGGATTGAATTATTTGCAGGTTTTCATGTTATTTAGTTCTGAATAAACGAGATAGCTAATCTGTATTCGTCTCTTTTTGTCTGACAGGAGGCCAGTCTGTCCGTCTGGATGCTCTTCAGTGACAACACAGCTGCACCGCTGACTTACTTTGATCCCAAGGACTACAACCTCAATGCCTCCACGTCGGACGATAAGGTTGTGTCTGTTTCCCAGGAGCCCCAGCAGCGCTGGCCCGTGGTGGTGGCAGAAGGGGAGGGACTTGGCGAGCTGGTTCGTGTGGAGATGACCATCTGTGAGGCCTGCCAGAAGACCAAACGCAAAAGCGTGATCGCGTCGGCACCCGTTAATGTCAAGGTCCGGTTTGGTCCAGAGGAGGACTCTGAGGAAGAGGCAACCACAGAGGGCGAGCCGGAGCCGGTGCCTGTCACCAGGCGGACGGTTATCGATCCCAATGTCAGCGGAAGAATTCATGAGACGTCTAACGAGCAGCCCGCCAGCGTTCCCATTGATTACACCAATTTCCCCACAATTAGCAACCAAGAGCTCCCGACTGAGAGTGATGGAGATGAATTTGTGCAGTCCCCCCGCAGCATGACGGACCTTGAGATCGGCATGTACGCGCTCCTGGGAGTCTTCTGTCTGGCCATCTTAGTCTTTCTCATCAACTGCATCGTGTTTGTGCTGAAATACCGGCACAAGCGCATCCCGCCGGAGGGCCAGGCCAACATGGACCACTCCCACCACTGGGTGTTCCTGGGCAACGGCCAGCCGCTGCGGGCCCAGTGTGACCTGTCCCCGCAGCAGGTAGAGAGTCCCAGCAACCCCATAGAGGGGGTGCAGACCTGCTGCCACGGGGACCACCACAGCAGCGGCAGTTCCCAGACCAGCGTGCACAGCCAGGTGCACGGCCGCGGCGACGGCAGCTCGGGCGGCTCCACGAAGGAGAACGGAGAGGAGGCCAGCTCCCCCACCTCCAAACGCAAGAGAGTCAAGTTCACCACGTTCACAACCCTCCCCACCGAGGAGCTGCCCTACAACTCCATCCCCATCGCAGATGAGGAGGACATTCAGTGGGTTTGCCAGGACATGGGTTTCCAGGACCCAGAGGAACTACATAATTACATGCGCAGAATAAAGGAAATAGCTTGAGTACAGAGCTGCACAGCGAGACAGTGTTCCAAGCTCTCTAACAAATATTTCTTTCTATTTTTCTCTTTTTCACCTAAGTGAAAGATAACTTTCACAGACTAAAAGGCCAACTGTTGTTTTGGTTAGGGTTTGTTCCATTTAGTTTGCACAGTGCTGTAATTTCATACACACTCACAAAGAATAAAAGCAAGTAAGCCAAAGACTTGACCAGAGGATCTCAGTCACTTGAGACATCTGTAAACCTTGGCCACGGTGAACAAGTTTTGTTGGGAAACCGAGCAATGGACACACGAGAGCTGCTCCAGCTCTCCTGTTTTCTGGCTGTGACTCTAGAGAAACACAAGTGTGCAGAAGTTAGTGGAAGTGGCTCGGTGGGGCTCTACAGTTCTGTACCTATTCCAAACAAAGAGGCCTTTGATGAGCGAAAAACTGTCAAAGACTCTTGAAAGCTGTGTTAAAATTCATCATGTTGTCACCAAAGTAGAAGAAGCATTATTTCGATGGCTAGACATTCTTCATTGTTGTTATTGGTGCAGCACAGTCCTGATTTTTAACCATCTTCATCTTGTTGTCCACATTTCGATTCTAGCTGAAAGACGTGCCCTGCTGTTTGTCCTGATGGTCGTGATGGATCTAATGCCTTATAGAAGCGGTCAGTTTGCTGCTTATGTCAGCATGGACACCCTGTTTCCTCTCCACGAAGGCAAGAGACAGCGTGTTAATAGTATCCGTGTAAAACTCTAGACGCTCTGGGTGCGAGGTCTAAAGTGAGAGTCCAACATTGCTGGGATCTTTACGTCTTTGCATGAATGAGGATCTTACGGCACAATCAGCCTCTTTTTCCTAAATTTGTAAATGTTTATACTGTAATTATATAATTATTCATAAACATTACTAAACTAAATATGTTATCATGCATTACAGGCATGCTATGTTGAGCCTACATACATGCAAACATTCCGCTACGGTGTGTGTAAATAACATGTGGAGCTGGTTCCGCTTTCAACCCAAACCCTCAACAACAGAGGACCTGTAGGACAGCTCACGTTTTGGAAGCCTAATAGTTCTATGGGGGCTCAAAGATTCCCCTCAAATGGGTGTGTACATTAAAACACTTCCACATTAGAGTTGACTGTTCATCCGTGTGCGATGAATCAGAACTGGAACAGATCCAATCTTTGGATTACCTTATTTTTCTTCCCTGAGATTAACTTGCCTGCAGACTCTGGGAGAAAGAAAACCTTAAATGTAAAAGCCAAACACCTTCTCACTGAGCACAAGATCCTCTAAACTCTGCAGGTAATGCATGCCACCTTTCAGGAGGGTTGCATTCTGACCTTTCATGTACATCGTCGACACCCCCAAGCCATCATACAGCGGATGTTGTTTTATGTACAAGTTCCTTGTTTTGTTAGATCCATCTATTCACACATTTGCCTCAAACTGAACAACAGGGCTGGAGTCTTTCGTTCAGCTTCCCCTGGGAAACGAAATAATAATAACAGGAAAACTAAACAGATAATGAGGTGTTTTTTAGACTCCTTTTTTTCAGACTACTTAAATTTGTAGGAGAATTATAAACTCCGAGTGCAGATATAACAAAGTATCACAAAGCAGGCACGCAGCAGGATGCTGTCACACGTTTTTCAGTGGAATACGTATTTTTAGTTCTGGGGTTGATAACTACAGATGACTTTTGGAGGCTTATGTTATTCCAACTCTGATTTAAAATAAAATCATTCTTAGAACTAATGAGACACGCAGCAGATACAAATGACTTTCTGAATCTTTTTAATTTGAATCTGTACTGCACATCCTAAGGGCTTGGATTTTTCTTTCATGTTAACTGAGTGACTGAATTCCATGATCCTATTAGAAAACAAATCTATTAGCAGAGCTCCAGCTGTGCTTCTCACTCAGAGTTGTCTCTCAGTATATATTTTGTGATTGCACAGACCCAGTATGGAACTGTTCTCATTTTGGCATCCCTGTTTTTCAAATACTTGCTCCACACAGGCAAACACTACTTAGAGGGGATTTTTAAGAACACTGATGACATTTTTTAAGTGAGCTTATTATTGACCATTTGATCATGTGTAACAGAAAAATGCAATCTGTTGGGTGAACAGTTTACTGGAGCAAAAAACATTTTTTATTTAGTTTTCATGTAATTGAAAGTATCTATGATGTCTCATCAGTACCTAATACCTTTGGATACTCCATATGTGCATTGGGCCAAAAGTAATTAAATGAAAGCCTGGATTGGGACTTGTGATTTGGCTCACTGCATGTTCTTTTAATGTTGAATTTTGTTGGAACAGATGACCGCCAGATTCAAGTGTTAAATAAATTCAGCCAGTCTTAACTTTTTAAACAGATAATGAAACATTACTTGTGACAATCCAAACCCACCACTATCCAGCCACAGCATCAAAAGGTCCGGTATGGATTTGATGGAGAGGACAGGCAGCTGTGCGTGTTTCCCTTTGAAATTCAAATGATGGTCTCTCAGGATGAATGTAGAATGGAAATCGGCCCGTTTCGTGTTTTGTATGACTGTAGTACGCCCGACCTGGTGACTTCTCTAATAGGGAGTAAGTATCTTAACAGTAGCTTCTTGCACAGTTTTCCTGACTTTCTCACATAAAACATGCTGAAAACCCCTTTTTTTTTTTACATCCGACTTTTCTCGTGCATTTTCTGTCCTTTTTGTGGTAATGCTGTTTTGGTCATATGTTGCTTAATTTGTTTTTTCTTCAAGCTGCTAATAGAGACTTCTTAAAACATGTAAATGAAGATTTGGAATTGTATCCCCACTCTCACACCCCGGTGAACAGTGCACGACATGGACGCTGCGTCGGCTCAGCCATGTAACCACTACATTGACTATAATATTATGTACAAAGCACTGGTAAATTTCCTGTATTCTCTTAAAAAACAAGCCCTTGTATTTTCCTGTTATATGTAAAAGTACTAAAGAAAATGCAATATACATGTGAATTTGTGTCATTCTTATCTCTCAGGTTTGTGGTCTGTAATTAATGTTTTGGCGCGATGTCCTCGGCATGTCAACATCAGTTATGTCAGGAACCCGGCCTCATGGAACTTCATGTGAGGTGCTGACCTTGAATTATTTTAGTTGAATACCTCATAAGAAGAAACCTTTGTAATGGCAGTGACAGGGTTACTGATAAAACCACCATCACCAAGACATACAAACAGGGTGATTGCATAACAAGTCCTCCATTTTTCCTGGTCCATTAGTTTTCTTTTTTAACATATAAATACCCTCTCATCTGACACATTGATTCATGTGTCTCTGCCGGGGCCGATCATATCCTGGTGAAGTCCTGCAGGCTTTTGAAGTATATATATCAGTGCTTTTCCCCCCTCGCAGAGCGCAGTAGGAATGCCCTCCTATGATGTTTATTGATAATTCCTGCAGTGGTGTGAATATTCTGTGTGCAGCATTCATCCACAAAATCTATAGTTAGAGGTGCATACTCGAAGCCTGGAGTGTTTATTTCTTTGGATCACTTCGTACGAGCAGCTGCTATCAAAGCCTTTTGAGCCCATTTAAAACCTGTTGGAAATTAGGGGTAAGTGTTTTGAGGAATTGTGGAGATAGATGGACTCACTGAATACATTGGCATGGAAAATAGTTACAGTATACACCTTACTTTATAGTACAGATTTGAGTTTACTTAATAAAGAACATGTATGGGTCAGTGCATAAATGGTATCAACTGCTTCTCATTTCTGGCAAGTTCTTTGTATGTCTCCCACATTTAGATTTTGTAGGTAAATAGAGATAATAGAGATACAAAATTATACATTTTGACAGAAAGCAAACAATATTCCCTCCATAATGTCTACTAATGTCTTACTTTTCGACGTCTCCTAGTCAGGTGAAAAGGGAAGGATGTCTCTATGGGCTCTAAGGTTTTAATATCTGCTCTTTGAAAACTAAATAACTTTGGTGTGTTAGATGATTTAGTTGGAAGCCAAAGAACAAACCAGAGAGTTTCTTGGTGTATAATTGAAAAAATCTATCCAATTTTGCAGGTGCTCCAGATGGTTCTTCTCCTGGATTGCCCGTAGAGGCCACAGAATGCTTTCTGTTGAGTACAAATAATGAAGGTGGTTATATGGTTGTTTTTCCCCTTGTTTTCTCTGTATCTCTATAAGTTTTTTTCTCCTTTTCTGTATGGTTTATTCTTATTTGCTCTCCTTCTTTCCCTGTCAGGTTTGGCATTATTGAACCGACTCACTGTTTTAAACACACCCTTGACCTTGTCCTGGTGTATGGAATTGAAATTGAACATTTGATAGTGTTTCCGCAAAATCCCTCTTTCTCTGACCACCGTTAGCCAACTTTTGAGCTTGTAATGCTGAATTAATGCTCCATTGGGCAAAAATGTCACTTCAAGATGTCTGTCTGGTAGTGCTACAGCTAAATTTAAGTTTTTTTGTCTTTTATTTCTATCTAAAGCATGGGACCGAGCTCTCAATGCTGGGATGTAAATTAGTCAAGCTCACAAGAAATGAATCATCGGTTTTGCCGCCTTAAGGATGGGGGGGGACGGATCGGGGTCACTATGAATCTGGGTGGGTGACATCCCCCTGTCCCCAGTGCCATCTGCGCCCATGATGCTGAGCATGACTGATGCTAGCAGAATCGTGACCCGTCACAGGAGGAGAAATATGGGCCATGTTGAGTACATATGTAAGAGTAAGAATAAACTGGAAAGGGAAAAGAAACTAAAATGTGTGAAGCAGGTATTACGCAGTCAAGTCCAAATCCCCAAAAGAAAAAAAGTTTACATATTAGATAGGAGTGACATTTTGTGACAAGATACCGTGGCATCCTAAACGTCTGCTCTTCACAGGCTGTCTGGACCTGGGTTCGATGTCATCTGGACCTCCAGCATTGCTACGGATGCTCTGAAGATGCTTTTGTCTTCAGGACAGAAGGAAGCTGGAAGAGGAGGTAGACTAGG